ATAAAAAAAATCATATATAAAATACACGAAGTTCTTTTTTTCAACGTATGGCAGTGGTAGGATCAGTTTTTGCTTTTTTTCGGAAATGTTTGCTACATCAGCAAAATTTTAATTTTGAGCAGATCGCTCATATATTGAAAACCGTCGCTTTGATTCTTTTCCTTGATCATTCCACTTTTTGCAGTCTATATGCTAGAGCCAAGTCCTCTCCTTCACAAAACGTCACAACAGTTTTGAAATTTCGTAATTAGACTTCTTCAAAAATGATTACGCTTTCCTGTCAGCAAAAAGGTTTTTAAACGATAATTTTGACGATTATTCATGCGCAATTGCCCGTAAACAATCACAAAAACGGTTTTTTTTAGAATCTCTATAATCGCTTCATTTCCGTTGTGTGAGCAAGAAAATACGATGATCAACAATACAGAAAAATAAAATAGCACCATAAATATATGGTTGCAGCTTGTTGAAATCGAGAGATTTCTATGTAGCTGCGCTTTGCATATCTAAGTTCTCTTAGCGCCTAAGTTCCAATTTAAGATGAGAACAATTTCATCAAAATGTGAACATTTCTCTGTTCATCACATTCCAACTAATTACGTAACTTTCAAATATCATGTTTGCGTTTTTTTTTTGCAATACGATGAGTTTTTGTAAGTGCACCTAATCGTCATTAAGTTTGATAATATTATCAGTACACCAGAGTTTTATGCATCGAGTAAATCAATGTACCAATTTTGGATAATTCAAACTATTCAACGAAGCAATTTAATAGGTAAAAAAAACTTTGAATCAAGACCGAGGCGGTCAATGATTTGCTAAAATCCTTCCGAATAGGTGGAACTGAGACGCACTTCTGAAATAATCACCAAGAACTTCTACCAGACAGTGTCGGAAGAGATGGCAATAATTTCTTTCAGATCCACAATAATCCTAGGTTTTTTAGACAGTTATGGTTCAATTTACACGTTTCGGCAAACAATTGAAATTTAACTAGCCATTGAATTATCTATGAAGATTTCCCGCTGACGCTATGCTTTTCGGGTTTATGCGGTAGTTCATTTACAACTGGTTTACCACAAAGGTTTGAGCATCGAAGATGATTTATTACTCATTTATTAGTTAAATCTAGATATTATTTGGTCTTGTCCTCACTAAGAACCTGTCCGTCTATTACATAAGAATATAAGTGCTAACATACATATCTCTATATTAATAATTGAATTGAATGTATAAGACGATATAAAAGAATATTGACAACAGCAACGCTGCTGATCACATTTGTGATTAAACTTTTAAAAAGCTCTTCCCATTGTGATCAACGACATTCTGATAACTGCTAACTGAAGCGGGAAATTAGTATAGCATAGACAGTAAACAAAATGAGTGAAAGATGAAATGAGCGCTGAAGTTAGGGATTTGATGAAACAGAGATTTTTGGTGTTCCATCTCCCATGACATTTCGGGTTGTTCGTATACAAAAAAGCTATGGTCTCTCAGTTTATTTACTTCTCACCAGAACAGTGCCCTCAGTAGTTTTCTACATTTTGGCAATCCAGCGAGAATAACGTCACATACAGAAGAAGTTATATATTTCTAATTCTCAACGCATCTAAACCCTACAACCGCACGAGATATTTTGTTGACGTACATGTTCAGCGGTGAACTAAGGTCATGACTAGAACCTCGTGATTGGCATAGTGACATTTCTATAGAATGACTTCAGTCATGCCAGAGTCTGTAAGAGGAAATACGGAAGTTGATCTATTTTCCTTCCTTCCTCTCACAACAACAGAGTCATTGCAGCAAAAAAAAAAGAAAAATCACTGCAATTACTCTAACCACTATTAGTTTAAAAATATACTTCGGTATGCCACGGAAGACTTTGCAATCAGTAATCTAAAACATTTGCTGACTTTTCGCCTCTTACAATGAAGATTAGGAGATAT